TACAACATTCCAATTTATTTAGTTTTTAGTCTTACTTGGCCTAGATGCAGATGGTTTCACTGCGTTGTAAAGATACCGAAGATAATTTTCTTTCAAAGACTTTGCCGAAATTGATGCTGCCTGAGCCAATATGGTTGTGTTGTTTTCTTGTTCCGATGATACTTTAGATGCAATTTTTCTTTTCTGTCGTTCGCACAACTTATCATATGACATCTGTGGATGTCCTCGCGCCTTTGCAGTATCGGTTTCCAAAATTTCAGTATCGCACTGTAACACTCGCTATCGGCTACCTATGAAGTTCGAACATTTCCATCGCGTCTTTGCCACCTTCTGTTTGCGTTTAAAAAAACAATGTAACTTTGTATCTGATTTGTTCGATTTCTTCTTCTCTGTCTGTTTTTTAATCTTCCAGCAATCCAATCGTACACAGCTACAGCATCTTTATTGTTTTCAAACCAAACTTTCGCTATTTTTTAGTTAGTTGGTCTGAATTACCTTAGACCGCATACATATATAGATTTTGTTGATCCTATTTTACCGCAATATTTAACACACAATAAATGCCTGCAAAATTCAAAGACTAACACGCTCTACACAAAAATACAATAGCAAGACGACTCTTTTACAAGAAAGTGAAATATTCTACATTTTGCATACCTTCATTAATATTATCCATTTTATAACCACACTATTTTTGTAATTGTTTACTTTTTATCACCACTTAAGATTTTAATACAACTTGAATATACCGAATGCCAACCAATAGGGGAATCAAAACAAAGACTTTGAACACTTTCTGACTAACAAGTGGTTCCCACCAGGCATTTGTTTACATATTTATTTTTAAACTACTGGGATAATAAGTAGTCGAATGTCGTAATATTTTTTCCGAAAATTAAAAGTCTAAAATTGGTTCTTATTTCTCAATATTTCAATTTCAAACTATAGTGCGATATGGAAAATAAAATACCGATTTGAGAACGAATGACAGTCAATACACTTCTGAAACTCAGTTTACGCATCCGTTTTGAATCATATACTACGTTTATACGCATGCATAAGTCGCTTTAATTCATTTCGCCGCGATTCAAAACATGTATAAACTGAATTTCAATTCGCTTTGAAAGATCGAAGTGTTTTGGCTCACACTCCATTTCAAATCGGTAGTTTATTTCTCCAGATAGTTGGAAAGAGTGTATAAACACCGCTCTCACTCAAAGCGAATTGGAGATCAGCTGTTCCGCTCAAATTCCAAATAATCGCATCAGTATTTAAAAGCTGATTAATAATAATCGTTCTTTTTCTTTGCCACGATTTTATAATGCCGAATAAAACTAGATTTTTATCACTTTCCATTATGTTAACTTATAAAATGTCAAATGAAAACAGCTAATTTTGTTTGCTTTTGAAGACGGTTACTTTGATGCCGATATAAGGCCGTAAGTATAAACACTAGAGCGAAATGTGTAGTAACTGAGAAGTAAGGCAAAGCGCTTTATGTGTCAGTATAAACAAAAATCGATAGTTAAACCATTGTCAATGGCACTCTAAAATTTTTCTTTTAATGATATACTAACCTTTATGATACAGGGAGCAATACCGGAACATGGCGTAACCACACTTGATACACAGCGATCATGTATGACGAAGTTGCACACTGAAAAAAAGAACAAATTTGTTTAAAACTCAACAACTATGTAATTGGTTCCGATATAAAAACCAATAATATATAATCACTAGCGATGAATAAAAATGCGCTAGTGTTTTGACGGCGAAGAAAGACGCGTAAAAAAATGTTGAAAAAAGGCGCTTAAAAAAAACTTTGGTGAAGAAACACGCGTAAACACAGATTTATAACCGGCCAAGGACTGTCACTTCATTATCATTCCGAAAAAAACTCTTTTACGTACTATTCCACCCGCAAACATAGTTGACCGCAGAAATAATTTACGCGTCTTTTTTCACCGTGGACTATGTTAAGAGTCTTTCTTCGCTAAAGATTTTTTATGCGCTATCAACTTTTGAGCTCGTGCCTTTATTCGTGTCTAGTGACGATATCCATGTAGCATTCCATGCTTAAAAGAAAAAATGTCAATGTGGCCACCACGTCGTATGGGTAATTCGCCTTCCTGAGAGTCAAGAGTCCTTCCACTTATTCCTCAATTTTTTGTATGGAGTGGCAAAAATTGAAGGGTTTCTGCTTTCGCTACTCACAGAAGGTTTTTCGGACGGGCTTTTGTTGGACGGATTTCGAAGACTTTTTGGTGGAGTTTTGCTATAGTTGTTTCCTTAATTCATAAAAATCATACTTTTTTAGGGGGCTTATTTAAGGTGCATGTCAAATACTTTTTATTTCTACTTAAAAAGCATATTGAAATTCATCTGTAATGCTAAATAATGTATTCATACAAGCAATATTTAGCTGAAGACTTATTTAAAGAACTTCGTGAAAGACAACAATTAATCTTACATTGCTAGAGACCTGATAACCCAAGAAAATTTTTAAGATATTAAAGGGCCTTACTCTACTCATAGCTTCATACTGTGGCCCGTGAGAAAAGAGTTATTTTTAAGGTAGATATAGTCCAACCTTTCACAATATCCGTCCAAGAGCTTTATTAGTCGTAGTCTGACACGCAATAATCACTTAAAATTGGCGCCGTTAACCCATTCAGTACAAAAATTCAACCACTGATTCTAAAAATATTAAAATACAAAAGGCTAATTCGGATCGTTCATTTCAAAAATTACATCAAAAGATTTTCAAAGTTTTGAGTTTTACCGTCATCCAGGGTCCTTTAAATTTGTCAGTGATACCCTAGGTGTTTAAAAAATAAAGTGATCTCAGTTATTTTTATTTTCTTTTTTCGCGAAATACATATATGTCAAAACTATGAATAAAAAGAATCCTAATCACAATTTCACGGAAAATTGGTTGATTTGATATATAATTAAAGTCTGTAGCTACTCTAGATCACCCTAAGTCGTATTACTGAGCAATTGTATACAGAAGCGTTGAGATTGAGTCAAGAAAATGTTTAAACGCTTATATTTTAGCACCTGCTTCACCGATTTGAAATCTGACAATTTTTGGATAACCTATGGAGCTTGCACTTTAATTTGATATGCAAGCCAATTCTGTAGCTACACCAGATCGGCCTAACTAAGTCGTATGACTGAGCAATTATATATAGATGCCTGCGCGTAAATTGTAAATAGGAAAAGCCCGTCTGGAAGCCGAGGATCGAAGCACTTTTTTCAGCCCTTTTTGGGTAAGCTTCTTAGAATGGCTTTACTTAAGAATGTCTACGTAAATTACACAGGGGTTCTCATATAGAAATTATGTTTTGTTATAATTTTTCTCCATCACTTCGTTTAATAAAACTTTGGTATTCGTCAAGTTACAACTTCAAGAAGTTATAAATTTGTTTCTTTTTTGGTCGAATTCAAATCTTTTTTCTGATATTAAAATCGAATAAAAAGTGGCTTAGTACTGCTTCATTTAGTAATAGTAAGTATATCTGTGTTTTCCTTTTTTTGCTAGAAATGTTTTCGTTTTTTTTCGTACTACATATTTTGGCCTTATCGCATTTTCGGTGCTTCTTCTGGACTTAGCAAATTTTCCTTTTATTGAATATAAACGAGTATAAATAAAACAAGTACCTTTATTTTTTTCGAAACAATGCATTTCAAGTTTCTCTAGCCTCCTTACCAAAATATGAGTTTTCATAAAAAGTGGACTTGGCAACTTTTCACTCTAACCTAGCGATATTCTGGCTCAGTGACCTCAAATTTTTATAAAAAATTGGTATGTTTGTACAGATTTGTACCTTTTTTTATATTGGGGTATTGGTACAAAAGAAAAAAATTGCAACGACAATTTGTTTTTGTAGTCACAATATTGGTACCATGGTACAATACAGTGAATTTCTATTGAAAAATTAGAACAAATTGTTTTTCTTGATTGGGATAAAGCAAATTATTTGTAAATTCACACGACTGGGATGCAATTTACACCAAATTTTGGGCAAATGCCTTAAGAAAGAGTATTGCTTTCGATTTTATTGTCTTGTGTAAAGCACTTACATATGTATATTTGTGATACTTTCAACGAAAATAACATTCTCCACTTTGAAAGTGTCCCAAAATAGAGAGAAAAAATAACCCACAAAAGAGAATAGGTGGTTTATTTTTGGTAGATGCGTGCTGCTCTCAGTGGGAAAGGGCTATTTGCATATAATTTCCGTTGCTGTTGGTCTCGGACACTTAAAAAGAAAAGTTCATGCGAAAGTGTCTTCGTCTAAGGGAAAATAACCCACAACAGAAAACACAAAAAGATCGCACAGAGTGATTTGGCACGGTGAGAAATATTCTTTGCTTGAGAGATGTGTGTTTGTGTTAGTGATAAACACCATACAAAATAAGTTGAGAGGCTTATTTACGACCTCTGTCATGGCCAGATACAAATTTTTGTGAAAGTCTATATTAATGTTGCCATTATGTATATATTATGTACACATATACATATACGGCTTTATACCACTATTTGTTTGTATTTGTGCCGTTCACTGCAAAAATTTGTTGACTCCACTTCTTGGAAAATCCTAAACTGAAGTGTCACACTACTTGGTATAACTTATTATATTTATAATAACTATAAAATACTCAAATATAATTCTTAATTTTAATTTATGTATGTATATTATAAATGGAATTTTTATTTAAAAGGTATATTCATCGTATCCCCAAACTTTTTGTTAACGGAGTTAATAAATTTGTGCATTGAACGGCTCATTTATTGCAAGGCCACCACTTCTCAGTGAATACGCAAGTACGTTCATAATCCCCTGCAGAAAAAAATAACCCACTTGTAGTTATCTTTTTTGCGGGATTTTTATAAAATATATAACTTGGAGGCCGCTGTGGTGTAGTGGTAAGCAGTGCGCGCTTCCACTCCGTTGCGCCTGGGTTCAAGCCCTGGTAAAAGCAACATCGAAAGAAAAATAGAAAAAAGGTTTTTTTCTGAACAGCGGTCGTCCCTTGGCAGGCAATGGCAAACCTCCGAGTGTATTTCTGCCATGAAAAACAGCTTCTCATAGAAATACAATTGCCGTTCGGAGTCGGCGCAAAACTGTAGGTCCCTCTTCTTTGTGTGACAACATCAAGGCGCACGCCACAAATCGGAGAAGCTCGGCCAAACACTAACATCTGTGTAAGCGCCAATCTATTATTATTATATAACTTGGAGTTAGCTACAAAAAGCTAACTTGAAGCTAGTTGACAAGTAATGCAGGAGATTGTTTTCTTCACACGCGTTTCTATTTAAATATCCTGAACTTCGCAAATACTTTTCCGAATTGAGGACAAATAAAAGGATCGAAAGGACGAATAAAAGATCGAAATGCAAGTTATGCCTGACGGAGTTTGAATATGGTACCACCTACAGCAGAATATGTAAACAAATATTAAAAGTAATAAAATAAAAAAATAGAAACAAAAACATTTGATTTTTCCTATTGATATTTTATGCCCAAAGTAGTTGGTTACATAGAAATATAGTTAGCTTTCGTCAAAGAAAATATACAGATAATAGTGACTTTTAGCTCTTTCCTAATCTACTTAAAGTTAGCTTATAATTAGATACATTTCCTGGAGGGTCGTATGCTGGTGTAAGGGTTTATGTAGTACGAAGCAGAGGTATGGAAACTTTCAAAAGCAAAAACTTAGCTATGAATGAGATGTTCGTGACGTCAGCGAACGAAAAGCGACAGGTCTGCGGCCTACTTTTCTACTAGTGTACTCATGTACGTATGTATATTAGGGTGGTCCAAAAACAGTTAATTCGGAATTGTAATGCTCTCATCCCCTAGGATTGTTCTATATCGAAAAAAGTATACCCCTATTTTTTTTATTTTGAAATCAAAAAATATTTAGAGGTCGCTTAAAGCGCTCAAAGTTTTCCATGTATTTTTATATGGGAAAAATAAAGTTTTTCGTAGAAATTGTATAAAATTCTTGAAAGTCAATATTTTCCAAACGGAAAACTCTAGTTCTCTTCAGGAGACTTTCAATAATAGTACCCAATTGTTTATTTAACCATTTTTTAATACTAACGATTTTTTATTGGTCGCCCCATTGTATTTTTCGGCGTTTTTGGCGAACCTATAAATTCTTGTTGCAATGAGAAAATTTTTAAATAAACAATTAGGTTTTATTATTGGGAATCTCCTGCAGATAAACAGATTTTTCTGGTAGAAAAACATCGATTTTTAACTATTATATACCATTTCTACGAAAAGTGGTTTTATAAAGTACATGGAAAACTTTGGGCGTTTCGAGCGACCTCTAAATATTTTTTTGATTTCAAAACAAAAGATAAGGGTATATTTTTTCGGTAAACAACAATCCTAGGGGGTGAGAGCATAAAAATGCCGACCTTACTTTTTCACATGCATTTTTGGACCGCCCTAATAAGCTGACTTCCAAAACGTACGAATACAATGTATGGATACTGTTATACTGCGGTATTCAAACTGTTAGTCTGTGCAGAGTTGCAACACCTTGCAACCATATACATTGCATATTTTAAATATTCATTATAGCAATGAACAATTTTTCTGAATTTTCCATTTTTTTATTAAAACACCAACCAAGAACAAATGAAGCTTCAACTTTCGTTTCTGATACGCTGATTGCTCTAGCGCAGAGCCTCCTAAAGTGGGTTCCTCGGAACCCAAGGGCTCCGTAGTCACCGGGGTTCCGTGAAATGAATTTTGGTATGAATAAGCACGGCGGTCGGTTTGAGTTGCACACAATTATGCAATTATGTATTTTCAAGTACATATACATATGTACACCGAGAAAAAAAAACAGTACATTCATCAATTTTATATGTACTTGGAACAACTTTTATTGATTAAATCGTACCCAACAACTACTCGCTTTGAAGCAACAGCGCAAATACTGTCGATTTTTGAACTAAATTAGTATTTAACACAACAATTTTCGCATTTAGATTAAAAGTGTATAAATTGTTGTTTTAAATACTTTTTATTTGACTTAACAGTGGAGGTCGTTGCTACAAAAATATGAAGCTGTTGAAATAAATACTTGGACTCTGAGGTTCCAACGACGAACACCTTTGACGGAAAGAACTTACGTATTTGATTCAAATACTAATTTGTTGGGAGAATAGTGAAAATTGTTGGAAAAATTGTGCAATCTTTCTGGCTTACACTAAGAAACATTTTAATGTGAACTCAATTGATTGGTTTTGCTTAGAAAGAACTTTTTATTTAAACGTTTTAAGTATATATGTATACAATATAATAAACTATACAATGTATGTTTATTTTGTACATATTTTGAAATTAAAAAATAATTATTGCAACAAGTACTGATCAGTTATTGGAGTTTTATGTTCCTCATTAAGATGAAAAATTAAAGTTTTTGACAGCGTGAAAAAGTTATTACAAATAGAGTATTGGTGGAATAAGTACTTTTCAGTGAATATTATTTAATTTAGAAAATAAATTTGGTAATTTTAGAAACTTCTCTTCAGAAGAGATTTCAAATAAAACGGACTTTTTTCCGCACATATTTACTCTTTGCTGAATATTCTAAATTAAATGTGAAACATAATTTTATTACCAGGTCCAGGGCGCGAAGTAAGGTTGGTACCTTGTAGCGTAGCCCATTCAAATAGACGTAAAGCTCTGACAGATTTTCGACTGAATCCCCAATAACAAAAACTTTGGGCTGTAGTTCTAACTTTTCTTGGATGGCACATTCTTTCATTTCTTTTTCCTTTTATTTGAAATTATTTAAATTTACTAAATATAGTATGTACCATCATGTCGTTTTGAGCGTCAGATATTGATGGCGATATATATATTACTGATTCGCGGAGGTAATATTATGGAGTGCAATAAATTGAACAAATAAAAGTGCTTTGAATCGAGGAAATAATATATGGTCGTTTCAAGTACAAAACCGCGTATCGTCGTTCTGCAAAACCACATAACTGACATTTTTCTATCAAAAATTGGATTTGCTCACACGAGCTCTTGGCTTAAGCCTTATCCATTCGTCCTGAAATATACTAGCCAGAAATGCGATTGCTATATAAAAAGGAGAGCCATTTTGAAATTTTAGTGTTTTTACTCTGTATAAAATAATTTATACAACCTCACATGCGCGGTTTCGCATTTTGTTGATACGCGGTTTTGTCTTTAAACGACGATATAATCAGGCTTGTTCATAGTTTTTCTGGATCAGTTTTCAGTTTTGGTCCTTGTTTTGCATTCTTCTTTCTTTTTGCGATTTCTAGTGCCTTTACCTGCCTTTTGCCATTTTATTTTCCCTCCTTAATATAATCAGTTCCCTGGCAACACTGGATCTTAAATTTTAGTTTGGTTTTTGTTCTCCAGACGTCACTATCCAATTTCTATGTAGAATTGCTCGGTGATTCAAACAATCGAGTTAATGTTTTTTTATGGATACGTTATCGAGATATTTGCAATTTACGGTTATTCAACTTAAAACAAAAAGTGGTTCCACTTAATCACGTATATCTTACGAGCCACTTTAACAGTCTTAATATGAAATACGGCAAATGAAAGCTAATGAAATTGTATACATTCACTTTCCGATAGAACTGATAGTTTCTGACAAATTAATCATTCCAGTTTTTTTTGTTTTTTTTTAATGAAAAAACTGAAAAAAAAATCAAACTTTAACAGAAGAAAAATTAAAAAAGTAACAGGCTTTGTGCCAAATTTTTACATCTGTGCTAAAGCTTTTCAAGTTACTACTGAAGAAAATCGATGGTTAAATAAAGAAATAATAGTGGTCAAATGAAAATATGCAAAGATTTTTTGTATGAAAAATGAGCAGGAAAGAAAGTTACTCATACGCCACGTACACCTCAGTAACACGCTTTACTGCTCATATTTCATACGATCCGAGGCGGTGGTACCAATTACAACCTTTTTTAACTTTTTTTTCAATCAAAGCCTCGCATTATTAGCAAAATTTTCCATTAATTATTCTCAATCATCTCCCGGTTGCACGACTATACTCAACCCAGACTATTGAAATCTTGGGTCTCGGTGGAAAGAGAGGATCAGACGGTGGGGCCACTCCGATTTATTCGGTTTAAAGGCTCAAGCGGGCGTCTATTGTCTTGCAACCACCTTCCCGCTATATAAACAAAAGGAAGGAAGGAGGAAAGGGAGAGCTAGATATTTAAAAAGAAGAAAAGATATACAAAAATGTATGAGTGGAAATAGCTTGAAGAGTGCGGCGAACAATTTTACCAGAAAATAAGGCGGAAATAAAACGAGTTTAAGACCGCCGCTGGTTCTTGTACCTGGTAACTGATGTCCAAAGTACCTTTGATATACATGTCAAGGAAACACTTCTTAGCTATTTTAACGAAAGGGAACCGAGCCCAATGAATAGGGAAAATACAAATAGATGAAGATTGTATATTAGATTCAGTACTCATCAATCCGCTGATACTTCGCTGTTTTTACGAATTCTAATACGCACATAATTTTTTAAATTTGTATTCCCTACCAGAACAAACTGGGTAAATACTCCTTACCTGGTATATTGGGTAAAGTTTATATGAATTTCTTAACAGCAATGTGAAAATTTTACCGTATTCTACTGTACATTTTTATGGTCATGTGAGATTTTGCAATGTTCTGACGTTTGTTTATAGGGAATTTTCGAAGTAATTTGTGCTTGTGTTAGAGATTTGAAAAGGTAAATTTATGTAAATGTGCTGGAGTATAGGGTAAATTTTTCTGATAGAGTTTGTTACATATTTTTAGAATTTCAAGCTACATCCTTTAGCATTTTCAATTGAAAAAAAGGATAACTACAAAGAATTGTGTAGCAAATGTCGGATGGAATAATTGACTGACTATCCTAAACTGCATACGAATGTCACTCATACGACACGACATCCCACAATGTTGTGACTCCATATAAGCGGTTGACAAAAATACATATACGTATGTACATTCGGATTTCCCTTAGCTATATGGAGAAAAATAAAAGTGTTTGGATTATCGGTCTCACCCCCTAGAAATGTGTGAATAGCCTAAAGACTAAACTATACAAAGTTTTAGGTCAATCAAAGAAGATTTAGAGGTGGCTCAAAGCACTCAAAGTTTCCCACGTATTTTCGTAGAAATTGTATAGAATCCTTGAATAGCAATATTTTTCAAAAATACTACCCAATTGGTTATTTAAAATTTGTTTAATATGGACGAATTTTTATGGGTTCTCCCATTGCATACACATTTGGTAAAAGTGGAATTTAAATATGTTGCAAACTTCGCAAAACAAGAGATAATTTGAAAAAAACCACTAATGATATATCCGGAATTAGCAACCTCGAAGCATTCGCTCTCCCCCGACGGTACTTTGGAAAAAATTATTTTTCGCGAGTCCTTCGATTCGACACTCATGGAAGAGTAAGGAAAGGAAGAGCGGACTTGAACGCAGTAGAAAGGTCAAGTGCGGCTACACCTGCTGTTGTTGTAACAGCACAAAAATTCGCCAAAGGGTTTTCGGGGAATGACCCTAGAGTGACAGTCCTTGGCCGGATATAAATCTGGGTCGCTACGGCTATTGCCGAAGCATAAGTGTGGAAATTTTCCAATTTTAAGTTATTGGGTGTTCTATGTTATACCAAAACCCAGAATACCATGCGTACGCGGAAACCACATATTTTACAATGTCTCATAAAAAACTTCCAAACTTGATTTCCCTACATTTTCATTTTTACCCATTCATGTTTCTGGCATAAGAGGGACGATATGTATGTCTATAAGTCATATTGTAAGTTTTAATTGGGCGTGTTTCTAAGACGCAACAGTTTACCCCAACTGTTGCTGAAATGCTGTCAACTGTTGAGTTCAACAGTTACGTCTTAGAAACGGGATGATACATTAACTGCCAAAACATTTGTAAACAAGCAAAATTAAATTAAACAGCACAAAAATAAAAAAAATATTAAGCCAAAAATATGGATAGCACCGGATCTATAATGGAGCTTTTCTTATTTTATTTTTAATATATGTATTTGTTCGTGCATTTTATTTTATTAACAGCCAGTTTCGCCAGAAATTTACAGACAAATTATTTTTTATTTGAATTTTCTATGAAAACTGACGGAAGGGAAACATCATTTTTGTTTTACATATATAAATTGTTGACTTCATGTAGCGGAATAATTTTATGATTGAAAAAGTGGCGTCAAGTTACCAACCGTTGAGCTGAGCGGAACTACTCAACTGTGCGTTTCTGAAACAAACACTCAACAGTTTAGCAACAGCGACGTCTTAGAAACGCGCCCATTGAAATAGTGAAGCAAATCTTACTCTAACTCTAATTTAGATATGCTTCATTCTATCGATCACCTAAGCATGCTGAAAATAATTCGTGCTACATACCTTCGCAAATGTAACCGATCTGAATGATACCCCAAATTAAATCCGAACAGTGATGACAGTACGTTGGCTTTCCAAATGTCTTCTTTACGAAAGTATGTCCACCATCCGCCATTTTGCGAGTTCTGTGTGGATTCTTTCGAATATCGGACGTATCGCTGGGTCGCACGTTGGCGGCGCGAACACACCAAAATAACGACGACAGCGATGATCCACGGTGGCAAGTTCAATTCGCTTCCCACCGGTTATCGTTCTTTCTCTGTCCGCAAGCGTTTTTTTTTTTTTTGAATTTTCGTCACTTATCTGGGTATTTCAGCAATTTCCTTTAATTAGTCACCCTCAAGTTTGGTTGCGACTTAATGTCTCGGCTATAGGATTTCAGATCGTCTGTGCTGTTGTTGTTGTTTTATGGCGTAATCACTCAACGCCACGAAATTAAACCACAGAATTTATGCAGATCTCTCTTCAAGCTTTCGCTTGTGGTACTGTTGCCACTACTGCTGGTACTGCGATTACCCCAGCCCTGCCGAAAGCCCCTTGTGAAAGTGGCAGATTACGAAGCGTCGCCCAACGTCTTTTACGAGTTGTTTTTGTGGATGTGCTAGTTGCTGCGATTTCTTCTCTACTTGTCCTATCCTCCGTTGTACACGATATTGCTGAATATGTATTGCCGACTTCCTGGTTTTCACTTTGGGCTTCTGTGATAGCACTTCTTTCTTTATTAGTTGTTTCTGCTGACTTTGTTGTTTGAATTGTCGCTTTTGCGTTCGATAGTAATGATGACAAAATGACGACGACGAAGACAAAAATGACAGCGACAGCGGCATTTTCATCCATTTGTATGCTTCATCCAGACATATGGACTGGATCCTGGAAATCAAAAATGAACAAATTATTTACATTATCTTTCGAAAATGGAGCTGAACTGAATGTTATCATTTATTATTTTTAAATACATATATAATTTCATTTGATTCGGTAATGTCCTATAGTCAGGTGTTTACTAATCAGTAGTTTTAAACTGAAGTTAAGACGAAATTAACTAAACTAAATTAAACTCTCGAAGGAACTAAGGATGTGTATATATATGTACATTAGACTGCATCACTCCCCATACAAAAAAAAATAAGAAATCGGTACTGTTTTCCATTGGAATTATAAAATCGATTATATTTTAAGATGTCCAACAAAATATTTCGGAAAAATATTACGATTTAAGCGAGCTGGACCGATTTTAAAATACCTCCAAAAATGGAGTTTTTTATAAATAAAAATAGTCTCTTAAAGAAGTTTTTTGAAAAAATCCCCTCAAATGACAAAACGGTTTAAGCTGAAAAAATTTACATAAAAATATTAAAAAAAAAAATTCAACGGAATGAGATTTTGATGCTGTTTTTTCAAAGATTGGTATAAAAAAAAACTTGAATAACTGAACCTAAACCCTTCCGATTTAGACTTGTGAGGTATAGTCTATCTCTCAAGAGTTAAAATGGTTATAATACGATTAATGCAAATAGCTAATCTGTATTGACGACGCACAGTGGGGCAAAAAAGGTTGCTGTGGACAAATCAATTTTTAGAGCCCCAATATGAACCGATTTCAAGTTTCCTTTTTTTAAATAAAACATAATTACATTTTGCGTCGCTCTATCCGTGACGGTTTTTTTAAAAAAGCTCTGGATTTTATTTATTTATGTTGAAAGATGAAAGAAAAAAAAATTTGCTTCCACTTTTTTTGGAAAATACTTGAAATTAATTTCAAATGTCAATTCATTTGCTATCTATACGTATATATGTTTTGAAAGCCGTTTTTTCTGTTCGAAGAACTCGAGAACAGCCAATTCGTGCCCATAAATCCAAACATAAAGTATCGATTTTGCGGTTTTATTTTCATGGGTAGGCTAAAATGATATTTCAGCTATCGAAATATTTCCACGAAAGGGCCCGACCTTTTGCATCTGTTTGTATGATAAAAGGTGAAGTGTTAGTTGACGCATAGTCCTTATTTCGTGGACGAGGGTCGTCAACGTGTGGGGGGCCAGTCATCGAGGCCATTTTGTTCCATTCATTGGTAGGCATTTTTACGTGGCGGGTCCCAAGCCCAGCGCACAACCGTTACTGTGATGAGCGCCTTTCAACCGGATACACGTTTATATAGCGAGCCGCTTGCTGCAGGACAGACGCCCGCTTGCAGCCGCACCTAGAGATGAGCAGATGCTGCAGACTTCGGTGATCCCTTAACCGGTTAAAGGGCCGGTTAAAAGGATTTATATAGGGGGCGTGACATCTAACAAATAGACTAAAATGTAAAAACCACTATATCTCTGAAACCGATTATGCTGGGGAACTGAAACTTAGCACGGATGCATAGATTGCAAATACCCTACTTACGGCGAAAAATGTAAAACAAAAACAAAAGTATGGGTACCAAATGAAATAATATTTTTGGGTTCACAAGGACGAATAGGAATTGAAAATGTCCCTTTAATCTATCTTTTTTTTTAAGCTTATAAAGTTAGTCCTTAACACATACTTTAAAAAAAAATAATAATTGAAAAATTTCAAGGATATTCGAGAATAAAATTATAAAAGGGTATTTTCAATACCTACCCGTCCCTTACGCATCAAAAAATGTAATGTGTTTTAACTGTACTCCTTCATTTGGTACCCATACTGGTTTTTTAAGAATTTAATTTTATTTATTTATGCTTAAATTTTTAAATCATTTTGGAATTACTCATATCTTTCAAATTTCAAAGTTCTTTTAAAAAATCCTGACATCAGAGAGAAAAATTAAGAACGCAATTTTAGTATATTTGGCCCTTCGTTTGGCGAATATATTGATTTCTTCTTTTGTGTGCGAAATTGCCTGCCGCAAGGTGTTATATGTATATTGAGCTACACATTTATAAAAAAAACTTTAAATATTAAATAAACAAAAGAAACATAGCCAAAACTGTACAACATAAAGCGTTTCTATTATTGCCACCAGCGTAAATTACAAATCCCGAAAATCCCGGGATTCTAGGCAAATAATCCCGGAATTTTCGAGGCTTAAAAAAGACCGGGATTAACATTCCTAGTTCCTATGTAGGTAGATAAGCTCAAATTTAGACAAATTTTTCTATCTTATCTAGGACAATTTTTGCAGTTCAACTTCTCAGAGACAACTCTATGACAGTTTTATCATCACTTTGATAATTTAGCATATCAGCAAAGAAATATATTATCTGAGCCTTTCCTGATAGATAAGAGGAACAAGTATGATATGAATTATTCATATACCTAAAAAACTAATGAATGATTCTGGCTTAAAAGTTTTTTGAATTTGAGTGAATACCTGTTCTTATACATATGTGTGTCGTCATAGTAATACTCAAACAACGTAAAAAAATGTAATTGGAAAAAATTAGAACTTTTCAATGAATATCCAAAAATATTATTTCTACATATCGTCGCTGCCCCAACAAAAACGGTTATGCGATTTTTGTCAGTTTTTTTTTTATTGCATATTTTATTAACACTACCTATTGCCCACATTACTGCATTTGCCGTTCTCTATATCTTTTGGTTTAGAACTAACCAAAAAAAGCTATGTGCTCGCGGTACTAGAAATAATAATAATAATAGATTGGCGCTTACACATATGTTAGTGTTTGGCCGAGCTTCTCCTCCGACTTGTGGCGTGCGCCTTGATGTTGTCACACAAAGCGAAGGGACCTACAGTTTTACGCCGACTCCGAACGGCGATTGTATTTTAATGGCTTGAACCCAGGTGCTGATGAGTGAAAGCGCGCACTGCTTACCACTACACCACAGCGGCCGAGTACTTGAAATACTCTGCACTCAGAAAAAGGTTTAGTTATAATAACCAAGATTTGGTTATAGTGACCAAGTGACATAGTTGGATATGGCGAAATAAATATCTAGTTCACGAAAGTCTGCAATTTACTTGAGCCTTCTAGTTGGGACAAATGTATATTTGTTAATAATTACAAAACGACTACCTTGAGTGGACAATATTGTTAGTTGAATAAAATCATTGTTGAGCAAATATAAACAATGCTTTGGTTGATACAAGTTTTCAATTAATTTTATGAACTTGCTGTAGACGTGAATCAGCTAACCGTTTATTATTGGAAAAAAAAGTTTCAGTTTGACACAAATAAAAATTTACTCGATGGTTGTTGTGTTTACTTCTTTTATTTGCATATATTAAGCATAACAAATACGAACATATTTACATAAATAGTTACTAGTGTAAATAATACATATGTATATGGTGGTAAGAATTTCCTAAAAAGAAACGATTAAACAGGAATAGTCGTGCAAAAACCCAGGTCAATATCTGCTGGAAGTGCTGGTTTAAGTATACTGCTTTGCTTTTTCCTTGGCTAAATAGATACTTTCTAATTATAATTCACATGAATTATATATCCACTGAGAAACGCCGGTTGGCATCAAACTTTATATTTTTAAATAACCATACCCGCACCGAAACAACTCGCGGCGATGGCAAAACTGAAACTGAGACAAACAAGCCTGGGCATGTCATAGCACACACTTTTCTTTCTCTACCCAGCGCAGTGATCGACATGCCATAGCTTACTGAGCGCTCTGTAACCACACGCGTGTTTCACCCGTATACGAACAGCGGTAGCGGAGCAATGATTTCCACGCACACAGTCTCATTCATTGAATCGTTTTTATGCAATGGTCGGCATACTAGCGCATTCAAACTATTCAATAAGTGGGACTGTGTGCATTGCTTAGCTGGCGCTCTTCGTATGTGAAACACACATGAGCTCAGAGAGCGCTGATCATTATTTAGGGGGTGCTCATAAGCATGAATATATTCCGCTCTCAAACCAAATCGATCAACTAAGATTTGGTAACTATGACTAATCCATGTGTTGAAAGAAAGCTTATCTGTATTAGCAGAGCTTAATGCCATCCTTTTATGAACCATACTTTAAGTTGAATGGAATTTGTAGAAATATGCTTCAAAAAAAATATTTATTAGTATTTACCAAACCCTTCAACTAAATTAACGATTTGGTACAACCTAGATGAATATTAGAAGCTTTAATATATTTAGTTATAATTACCAACCCATGGTAATAGTTCCCAATCCTTGGTC